TCATTCACTCACACGTGGGGGAAGCCAGCCTGTACGTGACTTTATTCTTCAAATTCAGACTCAAGCATCTCGTTGCAACTTCGGAGATCAATTGCAAACCCAGCTGCGTGATCGATTCATGGCCGGTGTTAATTGCCCCGAATGACAGCAAACGCTCCTGTTCATGCACGATTGCACATTTCAGTCGGCTACGACAGTCTGCGAACAGTAACAAGACGTCCGTGCCATTATTTGTGATAAACTCAACTTGTTGTTCAATGCCAGCAATTCCAAACAGTCATCATCCCGACGAAAGCGGTTTTTCGAAAAGGGCTCGAAAACACCGAGCAGCATCAGTATTCCGGCCCACAATGACGAACGGATTCAACGATGGAACAAGTGCAATTCCTGTGGTCAAAGACATTCGCGGCTATCCTGTAGATTTCATAATGCCAAGTGTCACAATTGTGGTAAGCTTGGTCATATTCAATCTGTCTGCAGAAGTGCGAAGTTGTATCTTACAAAACGTACGATTGTTCATTCCTCTAAAAATTTAGTGTATGATTTACAGTCCTTAACTCTAGCCAGTACCAGTTCACAGTGGCCACGAGTTCTTGTTAAAATTATTTCTCCAGTTTTTTAATGATAGTTCTTTAGGTATGAATTGCAGTTTATTCAGTTCACAATGCTGATTTTTCTTTTGGTTTCTAAAGAATTTTCCGTAGGCAGATAGACAGTTTTTGAGCAGTCTTTCTGTCCTTTCTAAAAAGTCCTTGACGAGGCTCAGAATTGATCTATATGCTGATCCTTCGATTGTTGTTTGTTTTGTTTTTTGAGTCAAAGTTCGCTGGATGAAGCTACCTGCAGAGCCGTGGCGAGCGAATGCTCTGAAGAGATGTCTCGCTTCTTGAATGTGTCTTTGCTGCAGTGCGTTCGAATTCTCCTAAACACGGTCCTGACGTAGAATCCTTTAGATGCTCACTCTTAAAGCCTAGGTTTAAAAATCTGTACGTGACTTTGCGATAGATCTTTCTCTCCAGTAGTCCCTATACCGTTCTGATGGTCAAGATGTCCAAAATTACCAGTTGGTTATCCTTTTCCGTATTCATTGAGTACTGGGGGGGGGGTTGTTGAAAGTGTCGTTGGTCATTTTTTTTAAAGTCCTAACCATCATTCAATATGGTAAACGTCTTCCATATGTTGCTATCATAGGTTTCGGCTTGAATTTCGATAATACTTCCTTCCCCGCGTTCACTCATAAATCCAGAGATTAGCAAATCCAATTGGAGCCCGTCCCTTGAAATTGTTCGCGTGCTCTGATCTTGGCTATACAGAGCATGTCTGCAAGCATATTTTCACGAGTTCTCATCCCCCATAATTGATTTCATTGATTGGTTTTTTGGGCGATCGTGCTCGCTGGTAGGTCAACCGCAGCCGGATCACTCACTACCTTCTACATTTCACTCATTTTTCAATCTTCTGTACATTGTAATCCATTTGAATGGGTGTGGAAAACTAGATATTGGCTTGATCCAAACACTGCCGTACAAAAAAGGACGGTCACCGCTGTGAGGCACAAGCGATGCGAACTGTGATGGGCTCCTTTTACTGAGAGATATTTTTCGGGTTAGGAACTAGTGAGGTAAATGGTGAACTCTTGTCCCTCAAAAAAGACACACGCGAAACAGACACACTAGCGTCAACCACTATACGATGACAATAGAAGAAAAGATAGTTTTTATCTTTGAATCATTTCCCCTCATTTCTGTGGTTGCTTTTGTATCATACTTGTCTTTCAAGCAGATATTTATATCCCACTAAGAGTGGATTGATGGTAGATTGGCATTTACTCATAAACTCCGTTTGTTTCAGATATGGGCAGTAGAGTTTTGGGGTCGGGTTAGAACACACTGAAAACTGTGTTCTGGCTGAGACGGAACGTTCGGAGAGAAAAGGAAAATTAACCACTGAGCTTTTCCGTGTGTCACATCACCGGATGTGTCCCTTTCAAAGGTGAAGATACAATTCCCTTCGCGGTTTCTGATGCCAACAATAAATTGTAACAATAACCCACAAAAAGTGATTGACCCTTTCAAGATGATTTAGACGTGAAACTTAGTCTGGATTGATTGATGGGGCACCAAAAGACAGCAATCAAAGCCGGCGCAGAAAGTGCATGATTGTTGGTTGTAAAAACAGAAACTGAAAACTGATGGATCCATATTACAAAAAAGAAAACTTAGATCAGCTACTTCTGTTCAAGGAGTCATATGAAGTGAATACTCACAGGCTTGATAATCGGGTCAACAGCAATGCGTTCATCACCTGCGATTTGTAAGCTAAAATTAAAAATACATCTCTCAAAACCCCCTCCCCATGATACCCTTCTAAAGATTTCTCTCTCGTTGAGTCACTGAAACCCCGGAGATAGTGACTATTTGCAAACGAAGTGGCTAGAAGCAGACCAAACTGAGGTCGATAAATGTGTCCGATTGGCCGAGCAGATTCTAGAGATGAACACGATTCACACAAAATCAATCACCTCAAAACATACCATGGCCGCCTTCTGTGGCATCGGTTTTTCCCGCTTGGCTTCAACCAAACGTCGCATACTGCCAATTTCCAACTCCCTTCGCTTTCGATGCGCATACAACAGTTCCTCGTGACGTCGCAGCTCTGTTTTCGTTTTATCTCGTATCAGTACGGCATCCTGGTAGATCGGTCGGAGTTCGTTGATTTTTCGCGAGCAACGCTCGATCTCCAATCTCAGTGCGTCCGCAGTGGTCAGGTATGTATGACCTTCCTGTCAGTCAGTGAGAGAGAGAAACGATAAAAAGATGTTGGTTTAGGAAAATTGGACGGGAATTAGTTCGAGAAAGTGAAAGTTAATGCTTTTCAAAAAGTGTCAGATTGCTACAGAGAACTCCTAATCGATCACTAAGAGAGATAAGTAGATGGCATTTTACACTTTATTTCGCTAAAAAGATTTAGTGATTTGTTAGTATGATGTTAAATGGGGCACATTACTCGATCAGAAACCTGCTACAATGAGTATGGAAATTGTTAAACTAATCTTTGATCAATTTGAAATACAATTAGACGTGTAGTGTGCTATCACTCAATTTTCACCTCTTGTCGTAGTGAAAAGCTGGTGTTCTGTTATCAGCCCTCTTGTTCAATTCAATCGTAACCGATGTGGCAATGTTGGTGCTGTACTTTCGCACTCGTTATGCCCGCTTGAGCTAAAGTACTTATTTATGGTCCTCAAACTCGCTCTTCACGTCATAAAATCAGTAAAAATGATTTAATAATTCGTTGATTTCCTGATACAAAGTTGGTTCAGTCTCTGAATTCATGGTCCATCGATTGTTTATCTATCTATATATCTATGCATATTTCTGTCTATCTATGCTATAATATCTATCTATCTATCTATCTATCTATCTATCTATCTATCTATCTATCTATCTATCTATCTATCTATCTATCTATCTATCTATCTATCTATCTATCTATCTATCTATCTATCTATCTGCTAGGTGTTGTTAAAAGTATCAGCGATGGTCGAACCCCGGGCTTCACAAGCAGAAGGCGAGGGTCGATCACCAAGTTGTCAAGCAAACTTAGTGGTTTGTCGGTGTTTAACACAATTTATAATTTATTAGTACATACATATATTGTTAACATTTAGCTGAGTACAATTCGAATCATCTGACCGCTGCGCGAAGACTGGAATATTGAGAGCGTACAGCACGTAATATAAATAACCGTTTCGGTTTGACAACATGGATTTAGTAAAACCAGAACAAAGTTGATCCTCGTGTCCTCTCGGTCAACTTGATCTACTCAGCCTCACGGACGTTCTCTTGAGAGAGTAAGCGTTCCGATTGACAAAAAACAAAACTCTTAAATGAACTACCGACTTTTGTTGTCACCTTGTTGATGTCCTATTGAATGACTACACCCGATCGATGAGTAGCACCTCCAACGGATCAATAATGTTAATGCCACACCTATTGTGAAAATGCTGTTTAGAACAAGGTCAAATGCAGATGCATTATCACTTGAAACTTCTAATCATTGTGACGGATGTTGTATTGTGCTGGCATACCATTTGTCAGTTTCAAAGCTTTCATTTAGTTCACAGTTTCACTGTCTATTAGGAAAGACAAAATACTTTCCCACACCAAAACAAATACTCCCACAAATGGACAAAGACTGGTTTCTAATCGCTCGCGGTGACTGTTTTAGAACGAAATCCAAATATAAGACAAGTAAATTTCGATAGAGATTCACACAGAGTAAAAAATTTCGCAATTCCTCCCAAGTTCACGACGGTGGTGATCAACAGATTTAGATCGGCATCACATCGCCTTACAGGTCGTGTATTGAAATCTAAAGACAAAGTCAAAGTTTTATTATGGGAATAACTTACAGGCTGGTGCTTCTCTTGTCCCATAGAATATTTACACAGATGAATCGTTACACATCGAAAAAGGAGTCACATAGAGTTCCGGGTAGGAGATAATAGAGAATACAGGCTACAGTGAATTTGCGTTTGCTTTTAGTGGTGTACGAATGTGAGGTGTTCCAAGGTTTCGTCGAGTCTCTGCTTGAAAGATTCCATACTGGATTCACAAATGACGTGAGATGGAAGGGTGTTCGAAGTAGTGCA